TGCTGTTTCACATTTCCTTTATCTGCTTATCTTTGTTGATGTTTTGGAGTTTCCTCAGGTTTCTTGTTTTCTGCCTATTTTGACTAATTTTATATTTGCGAGGAAGTGGATATTCTTTGAATGGGAGGCAAGGGGGTTTTGCGGAGGAGTTGATAGCAATTCACATGAAAAATATTTTACGCACTTTCTTTTACAACTTTTATAGAAACCTATAAGATGACGCAATATGCTTCAAAATTACACAATTTATGTTCTTTGAACTGATAAAGAATGACGTAAAATGTCTAGTAGAGTTGGAGATTTTTAACTTTTCTGTTATACAGATCTCAAAGTAGATAACATTTAAGTCGAATCGAGTCGACTTAAATCAAGTGAATTGCAAAAAATCTGCTCGACTCTACTTCAAGCTCGCAAGTGGTTCGGATCCCACTATAAACTGTAGGTCTAAAGGGTATGGTACAATAGATTTTTTACAAATTGAATTGCAGTGCTTCCAGCTGAAAGGCTGGGCCCTTCACACATTATTATTGAGCTATACACTGTTACAAAAGCAGTGCTTTTATTAGCAGTCATGGCAACATCAGAGCACTAAAACTTACGTCCTTTGTTTTACTGGTCATTAACCATCACTTGCCTTCAACTTTAGATGACTTAATAGCTAAGAACCAGCTGCTAGTTCCTTTCACAAAGAACAATTCTGTCTCTTTCAACTGCCAATTCTGCTTCATTTAAATAATATTGATTCTAGACTGAATCATCTGTTTATTCAGCTAGAATTTGATGTTTCTCAGTGTCTATTCTAATCTAGTGTTTAAACCAGACTTCGTGTAATGGAACTAGAATCAATATGAGATTCCATACTAGACTGGTTGATTAAAAAGGACAGCCTTGGTGATCAGGCAATAAATCCCTATTAAGAATCCCGTTGAAGTAGTGAAACTTATGAAATAGGTTAGCTTTGACTAAAATCTAAGTTGACAGCACCAGCTATATCCAATTTTTTGCTATTTTCTAATTTCTTTATTTTACTTTTCACAAAATTCCAAATTCCAAAACTCCATACCCAACTATTCTACGCATTATTCAAATAAAACATGCAAATCATTCACATTTGTGCGTATGTATCTAAATAGAAACGCAAAAGTCTACAGCATTTATTGTATCCAAAATAACCAACAACAAATTATTAAGAGAAATTCACGATTAAGCTAAAAAATAAAATTAATAAAATATCTCTTCCATCCATCGAGCTATGACATGAAACATAAATTTGTTGAATTTCGAGTGATTGATCATTACAAGATTTTTTTCATTTTCTTCCTTACATACGCACAAGTAGCAAAGAAGAGCATTGGCATCAGCATGAAGTGGCACAAGCAACATGATAAAAAAGGCGGCATCAAAAAGGAATTGGAAAAAAGGGTTCGAAATGGTGTTACTGAAATTTTTTTTCAATATAACAAGAACCAAGAAGAAGAAGTTGTAAGAGTAAAATGAATTATAAACATGTGCCCGGAGAGAGACTAAAACTGAATGAAATTTAATTTTCGGTCGAAGGCCTCCTTTTTTACGATGAAATTTCATTATTGAGGAGTGTCATAATTGAAAAATCTGTTATATAACAACAATACAGCTCATCAGATAGATCATAGACAACCGCCCTTATCTCTCTTTCCTTTACTTTGCTTCATCCGTCTGCTGCCTTTCTTCTTTTGCTTACACAAGATTCTTCTATTATATTATTGTAAATTGAGGCGAAAATAGATTAGATGTCGAATAACCCGGAACTGCAAATGATCCATTTAGTTCTTCTTAATTAATCAATCGTGTTTTCTTCGGTTCCGTTTCATGAGGAATTTCGTAGAAATTGCTTATAGCGTGTCTTGCGATGACTGAATATGGAACAAGGGAGTAACTTGGATGTTGTGTGACTATTAGGGGGTTTTTGGGTTGTCAGAGACCAGTTACGATCCATAAAAAACTACTTATGGCGTCTGAAATTCAGTAGGCTAGGGATAGATGAGCTGTTTAGCTGATGCTACCTATGATAATCCAATAAACTAGCAAGAGGCTCTAAAATCCAAGTTTTGGATGAACATCGCTTCATGGGATCCATTTCATGGGCCATAAATATACCACAGTCTTAAAACTTGACTATGACCAGTACAAGGTACCACAAGAAGCAGTGGGGTGTCTCAAAACCAACCCAACTCTATCCTATTCCAAAATTTAATTACTTCATACCACTGCTGCACTCGCAAACTAGAACTAAAACAAAAGGAAGCGGTAAAAACTTTTTCCATGTTCTGCTTGAGCACTTAAACTGGAAATATTCAAACGCCCATCTTACGGCTCTATTCAAAAAACAATGCGTGCCATTCGATTCCTTTTTCCTTTGTTTTGTTTTTCTTCAATCTGTTTCACTTCTTGGATTGGCAATCCCAAAATAATAGAAATTGACAGAGCGAAAATAAAGGAAATAATAGAAATGATTTTGGAGAAATTCAGGGAGAGGTGGGTGGAGGTTGTAGTTAAGAGGGTGGACATTGCTTGTATAGTTTTGGAGGGAATTGGTTAATTATGGGGAGTTTTGTCAAAGGGTCTAGTGTTAGGGATCTAATAAAATTAATCTGGTTCATAAGCAACAAATCATAAATAGTAAAATTCACTTCCAAATTTATTATATCACCTACCAAACCAATCAAAACCCAAAAATTCAACCAACCGAAATTGTCTCACTTCCAAAACTCATTATTACGTAAATAAAATGCGCCAAAAAAGAAATTCTCGCATACACGAAATAAAATAAAAACTGCGAATTAAATTACGACAGAAACAATAGAAACTTTTCCTTTCTTTATCAGCGTGCATTATTGCTTGATTTTCCACGACGCTATTTTGAAATCGAAATTAATATTAGTTTCCATTTCTTTTCCGTATATAATTTTTTTTTCTTCTCGTTTCTTTGCTTGTTATTTTGAGCGTAAAAATCGATTTCAATCAAAAAGCACAAAAAAAGGTTTATTTTTATTTTGATTCTCATTCACAGTGTGTGTGGATTTTTGGGGGGCTGTTTTCATGCAAGTTTAATAATAAAAGAGGAAAATATATAGAATATTATAAAATTGCTTTTTTTTGGTGGGCATAAAATAGATTGAGGTGTAATCAATTAATTAAGTTGTTGTTTAGGTTCTTTTTGGAGCATGTTCTAGTTGGAGTTGAAAGAATTCGGGTAATTGGGGTATTGAGAATTGATAATTGCGATGTTACATGATAGCTGGAATATGTGAGATTGGGGTGAGGCTGTTATTGAGGATATAAAATAATGCAGAATTTTTAATGGAGAAATAATGCATCCCAAAACCTAGTAGCACCCTTAAACCTCATCCGCAGTCCTTCTAAACTTCAATAAAACTCACTCCAATCTGATTCCACTAAATTAATTATCTAAACGCTGTTCATCTACAATTAAAAAAAATACCATATTAAAAAGTCAAAGGTAGAAAATAACAATAATAAACTCATTAACTTTTACATCGACTTTAATGATGTGCTCACAATGAGCTTCATTTACTTCAATTTTCTATTATCCATTTTTGTATTTGAAGTTTAATTTACTGGAATAATAAATTATTTTCACTCATTTGATCATAGAAATTTTCTTTTCTATGGATGCAGTTTGAATTGTGGATAATATGAAAATAAGATGAAAAATAGCTAAAGAGGCACTTGACGTCGTGAATGATGAAAAATGAAGTTTTTGAGGTGGAAAATTTATTGTATTGAGGAATAAAAGGAAGTGGTTGTTTGATGTTGATGTTTTTGGGGTGGGTGTGGAGGGTAGTTTGAAGCAAGAATTGAAATTTTTATGATTTTACAAAAATTGAGGAATTTGGTTGAATATAAGGACTATGGTGCATTGTTATCGACTTTTGTAGCCAAATTTAAAATAATTTAATAAAAATCTTTACATAACCTCAAAATTTGACACATTTATTTTCCAATAAACAACTCAAAAAAAAAATCACCGTAATAACTTTGTCGGAAAATAAATCAAAAATCGAAAGCAAATTTACTGTAGAAAATTAACAGAAATGCTTTAATTTCCATCAATGGAACGTGCAAATTATTAGTTTTTTTTTGCAAAGGTTTATGGCCTTCATCAATTATTAATATTGTTTGTTGTTTGTTTTTCTATTTGCGTTTACAAATGAAATAAAACAGGAAAAATTATAGACTGAAAAATCGTTCATTACTGTCCTCTCACCTCGACAATTCATAGTTTATGGCTAAAAATCGCAATAGAAACTCAATGACAAATATTATCAATTTGCTGGTATAGTTATTGCAAATTAGATGACCTTTAGGCAATGTAAGGTTGGTTAATGTCTCAATTACTCATTTTGTGGAGTAAAGATCTGTGGTGTCAGTGGGGTGCAAAAGATTAAGATGCAATTAAGTTTTAGAAAATGCTGGCATTTAAAATTTACGTAAAAAATTACGTACGTATTTTGACGTACGTAAAAAAATCTCACCTCAAAAAGCAATTTCTCAAAAATTCAACAAAATTCGCCAAACTTGAATGACCCAAATAAACATTCTCACACAAAAAAGTGGCACAAATATTATTCACAAAACTTCAGCTCACTTAATCCCTCAAAATCACGACAACTTCAATCATCCAGTCAATCAAAATGAACAGAAAAATTGCGTCACTAAAATAATTCTCGGAAAAATTTACTTCACTATTTGATTTCCACGTAATAACGATAATAATTAACTTCAATGCTTAATTTAAATGTTGCGAGATGCAAAGCAATTAAAATCATTTTCATAATTGACTATAAACTGTACAAAAATATTATTTAAGAATGAAAAATTGTTGTTGAGGGGTGTTGGACATTTATGGAAATACACAAAATATGATAATTACTATTATTGATTAATTTGAATTGAATTCATTAATAAAAATATCTTTTTTTTCTTGCTTTTCTTTATAGAAATAATCAGCGACGACGAAGACTAAAACGTCAGTGACTGGTACCAAACCTGTAAATAGCAGCTTCCATGGGCCGTATAAAACGAATGCCACAAAGATGTCTAATACGAATCCGAATTACGGGCATAGTAAAATTTTAAGTAACTTAATTCATGCTATGAATCATTCGTCATCATCCAACGCAATGACATCATCTAGTGCTGGCAATGGTGCATCAATGGTCGCTTGCTCATCGAGCTCATGCGATCGTCAGTCACCGCTCTTGCAAGGCTATTTATATAAAATACATAAACGTAATGGAAAGACGCAAAAATATTTTGTTATTTTTGACGATGTCCCTGATAAGCCAGGCACAGGTCGACTCGAGTATTTTGATAGCGAAAAGAAGTTTAAGTCAGCCATGGCGAAAAGTAAAACAGGCGGCATAACAAATGAAAAGAGAAGCATAATTTTATGTACATGCTTCAACATAAATCGTCGTTTTGATACAAAATACAGAAATGTCATTGGACTTTATCGTAAAGATGATACATTCAGTATAATGGCAAAGGACGAGTCAGAATGTAATTCATGGCTTAAACAGATGCTGATATTACAGCGCGGTAAAGAGTCCGTCGATGCCGATCAACCACGACCTACATTCGGTGAGTACACATTAAACTTATTATTAAACATAAAAAAAAATACGGACGGAATGAAAGCAAACCTTATCTTTTGTGTCAAGTCATGCCCATTTGTACGTCCATCGTCATTTCTCTTCTTCTTTTATCTTCTGCCTTGACTTTTTTTATTGAATTTTTTTTTCTCTTCTTGTTCTGTCTTGTTTCTCCTGTGTGTGAACCAAACTGAGTACGAGGAAAAAAAATCGATTTTAATTGGGTCAAAAGCCAATTTTTTGTCGTCTTTTATATCCGTACATATAAACATAATATATATTTCTTTTTTGGGGAACGAAAAGCAATTTAATTCATTTTGTGTGAATATACACTCTGTGACCGAATTGTAAAAGGCTCCAATGAATGAGAGTGGATAAAAAAAATATGTTAAAGTGGCATTCAGTGCAGTCGGTTCCCCAATGACATCGATCAATTGATAATTGAATCTTAATACATGTTTAATGAGTCCTTGCTCTTTATCTGATATAAGGGACAGAGAGAGAAAATGTGTCGCTTTTTATGTACTGTATGCTTATTGCATAATCAAAACATTGCATTGAGGTTATGTTGTTTTTTGTATCGTTGAATCGTTTACAGAGAGAGAGGCAGTTTGGGGAATTGAAAGCAATAATGGTCGATTTAAAATTCAAAAAATTAAATTACATTTTAATGATTTTAAATAACTTAAAATTCAAGAATCCGCCATTTTTAATTTTTTTCTCACTTCGAATAGTTTTTATTGAATATTTTTAACCAGGATCGTTATTGTAAGAAAATTTTAATGAACATATCTGAAAAAAGATGGCAAACGTTTAAAGAGAACATTTTTAAGTCTTTAGATGGCAATTTTGAAAGAAATCTTTGAGAAAATTTCAAACCACATGTCCTTTTAATTAATCCTTGATTTATACTTGTCTAATAAATGCAGTTTAAAGCTGACTAACGGAAGATCCAAATCATGCACATCCTCATGATAAATCAAAGCTCTTAATCACATTAAACCCTAATAACCCCATTTTCTCACCACTTTCCAAGCATATCCATTCTTTATCCAGCAAATCCCTCTGGGCTACCACACATAAAGCATCAAATTGCTCGAAATTTAATTCCATTAAACTTCAATTACCGAACTCAATATTGTTCATGAAAAATTAAATTAAAATCTTCACAAGATAAATCCTCACTGTTGCTTCAATCGCACGCCTTATTGTCAGTTAACGAAGTTATATAGAACAATTTTTGGTATCCCAAGAAATTGGTTTACCGTAATTAAGAAATTTTCTCAATTTCAGTTATCGTCGTCCTTCATGTTACCACATGTCTCCTTTTCTCTTTCTCACACACAATTTACTTGTCTCAAAATTTAAATTTAATTTTGTTTCGCATGATTGTCAAAATGTTACATACAGAAGAAATTTTTTGCGTCATCTGGCACCAAAAAAACATTTTTTTTTTTCTTGTAAATCTCCATTTGTCTTCTTGTTGATTTCCGAAAAAAAAAATTTTTTTTGTTGTCATTGATTAGATGTATTGTGGGCTCAATTCACTGATATTGAAATTTCTTTTTCCTACCGTCTGTGATTTCTTCTTTTTTATCTCCATTTGTCTCATCAAATGAATATGGGTAGGTCATATATGCTTGATGTCGGGGGACAGAAGAAGACAATTTTGTTTTGTGATAAGAGATTGGACAAAATAAATTACTATAGGCTGTTTATGAGCAAAGGAATCGGATAGACATTTATATTTGTTCGTCAAAAAAATAGATTGACATCGAGTGGCTTCCTTGACCTTTTTTTTGGGACTGTTTTGAAGATTATTACTGTTGTTATGTAAAAAGGTGGACTCGAATAGGGGTTCAATTGAGTTTTTCCTATTTTAGGAAGATTCAATGAGAAATTAAGGTCTGAATTTGGATCGTTCTACATCAATGGATTTGGGGGTGATAGGTACAAGCCCCTATTTTTCTATTTTTTTTTAAAAATAAAGAGTGCCCAAACTAATTCCCATCAAAAATCATTCAGAAGTTTCATTCCAATTCTCACATCATTCCATCCATCCTGTCCATCTTTGCCAAACTTTTCTTTCACACAAAGGTTTCCACACTTTCCATTCCATTCTTTCAATATTAATTTATTTATTTTTTTCACAATCACTTCCTTTCAATCATGTCAAATTCAATAAAAATGCATTTCGCAAACTTGTCATCATTTCCTTGCTTCTTGTTGTTTGTCCAACTAAACTGTCACACACATAATGAATTTAAATGTGACAGTGAAAATATAAAAATAAATTTTATTTTAGCACCGGACTTCCCGCAATTGTAAATGAATGAATCTAAAAATAGATGCTTGCAATTGTCAATTTTTTGCTCTGTCGTGTGGCTCATGACTTATGAATTGGATGATTCATTAGCAAAATTACAAGTTAAGCATGCGTGTGTGTGAGTATGTGCAGTTCCAATCGTAAATCGTGACGTCACATGATTGTAATTACTGTTATCATTGTTGAATATCATGCAAGCGACGACTTTTTAATGAGCAAGTGCAAGTTGCATAATAATTATCAGCAAACAATGGACAATTGTCAGCGACAGCGACAAATTTACAGCTAATAAAATTTATATTTTACATGATTTTTCTTTTCTAATTCTAATTTGTTGGCAATCGTAGACAAGGCAAGGTCGAGGTTTGTGGATATATAGAATGGAACTGAAAAATGAGAGGAAAAAGTCATAAAAAATAATTTCGAAAGAGACTGAATGAATTATGAGCATAAAGATAGGCTTCTTGATAGGCTGGCCGATAACATTTAAATAATATGAAGTGAATGCTTTAAGCACTGAGCACGCAAAAGGGTCATAGCCATTATAACAATAGTAATAATAATAATAATATCAATCACGTTATGAAAATGATTTTAATAATTCAATTCATTGCCTTTTTTGCTGCTGTTTCTGCTCTTCTTATCATCTTTTTTTATTGTCAACTTGTTAAGGAAATAGAAATGGTTATGGCTATATTATGAGGAGAAAAACAGGAACAAGAAGAAAGGATAACTTTTTTGATAAGTCAAAAGGTATAAAATGTTCTTTTTACCTACTGCCCTTCACCTATTTAATGTTTTATGATAATCATAAGAAGAGGAATAATGATGATGAAAATCTTCATTTTATGGGCTTGGGTGCTTAATGGTTGTTATGAATTAGGATGGAAATTGCAGACTATGAAGTGAAAGTTAGCTTTTTGGATGAATTTTTAAGTCTGGTGTGTGAATAAAATTTGAGATTGCATAGCTTTGGAGGAAAGTGGTCCTTAAAAGCTCCAGAAACTAGTTCATGCTTCTTCAGATGGAACAATTTAATTACTATGAATAGCTATATATGCCAAAATTGAACTCAAATCCACTAATTTACATACAAAACTACCTTCAACTCAAGCTGACTTCCAAGACATATGTAAAATTTTCAGCTGTTTATTGACCTCAATATTTAAAGACCCTCAGACCAAAATACATTGAAAATAAATATTCGCAGATTAAGATAAAAACCTTTAAAATCAACCGCAAACACAAAAATATTCTCAAGATTGACATCATTCAATAATATTTTAAACAACTTAAGTTTTATGCCTAACAACGAATTTCTCATTAAGTCATAAAAAATATCCATAAAAATTCTAGATCAGTTTCTATTAAGGGAATTGTTCGGTTGTTAGGTAATGGGTTATTTTGAGTGACTTTCCTAAGCTCCTAGGCGTCCCCAAAAAAGCCTTACTGCTACTAAAGAGGATGGAGAGAACGGGGTGGAAGGGATGCAGTCGTGGTCATCTGAAAATCCCAAAATAAAGAAAAATCTGTGTCTCAAAATTTTGTGACATAAAAGAAGTTAGAGCCTAATCCCTAGGTTTTTGTTGGACATCATTTATGAACAACCCCCATCAACATTTTTTTCATATCAAAAATCCAGAAACAAAAATTATTTTGCATTAATTAGAACAAATTCCTATTAAAAAATTCATGTTAATTGTGATTTATGATTGATGACAAGCAACAACTTATTTTTGTTTTTATTGCAGCTACAAAAAAAAACTTGTGACTTTATGTTTTTCAATATATGGAATTATAAACTTTTTTTATTATAATGTCATCAACTAATGTCGCAGTTATGAATGAACATTTTTATCACTAGTGACGCAAAAACAAAGAGTGAGAGGAAAAAAAGGTTGTATTTATATTAAATGCCAGCAAACTACGCTTCTACAATAGTAATGTGACCTGTTTTTAACGAATATTCGTCATCAGTCGTTCTGCTATGTCGAATCGCTTAATGGATATAATAATTATTGTTTTGACGTTACTTTATAACTCTTTCTTCTTTTTACATGCTACACATTGTACGCAAGCTGTAATTATAGCATTCTAAACGCATTTTCCATGCTGGGCATCAAAGCAGAGCGAACAAATTTTTTTTTTCTCATTGACGAAAATTAAATTTAAATTTTCAGCTATCGATAAAATGCTGTTAAACACTTCCTGACTCGTTTTTGCTCTATTTTTTCAATCAAAATAATTTTTTGGTGTCAAAAATGGACACAGCAAGTAAATTACGCATTCCATTGATAAAATCCGCATGGATTGAGCTTCTGAGCTAAGCATGTGATTGATATTTATTACCATTACGTTTCATCATTTTCATCTTTCATTCACAAAACATCCACAGCTACAACACATGAGTTGTGTACAATTCAGATTGCATGTTCAACATATCCGAATATTGAGTGAAATGTAGTGGGATGTGGAAATGGATATCCTCATGGCTTTTCTTCTGGTTAATAATCAAATAAGGATTTTTATCCCCCAAAAAATTGTGATCGCATGAGATGAGAATCGTAAATCTTGAATAATGGATGACGATGAATCTTTCCGTGACGATTTCCTCAATTTCATTGTCATGTCCAATAGCTGATAATTGAGGATTAAATTTTTTA